GTGTTAGGGTCTCCTAATATTGTGTTGTGTTGTGTTTTGTGGGCTTTTGCAGTTTGTGGGCTTTTTGTCGTTATGTGGGCTATTTGCCTTTATGTGGACTTAATGCCTTTATGTGTGCGTTATGCATTTTGTTAGTTTTATTATTGTAGTGGGCTCTATGTATGTCTGTGTTATATCTGGTGTGAACTCAATTATTTGAGTTCATTTTGATGTAATCTAGCCTTGACCTTCTATTTAATGAAACTCAGATTCCAACAAAAAAAACCCATACAAGTAGTATGCAATCGTAATAAGAGTGCATTTCTCATGTGTATAATTTTATTTTTTGGGTCGTAAGCCCAAAGCTCTGGATGTTGGACAAAGTTCAGACTTGCGAGGTTGTTTTTTTATTATGCCCTTACAAACTGAGTAGCTCGACATGTCTCGTGTCCAGAGGCCCCTGTTATATGACATGAAAGGAATTGAACTATTGGAGTGAAGAAATTCACACCAAATCAAAATTTTCTATTGCTTTCAAGCACATCATGTGTTCTTACTATTGGATAAAGGCATTCAGGAGTGAAGAAAATGTTATACCAAATCGAAATTTTCCTTTGCTTTGGAACAATATACGTTATTATTTTCATGCTTTCCTAGGAGAAGAGTTTAGTAACTATGAAGAATCCGTATACTCCCGTCAGCCCATAGAGTGCTACAAGTTCTAAAATATTGGTGGTATCGAAAATATCGGAAGTCCAAAAACACAGAAATATCGAAGGAAATATCGGGATATTATCGGTATCGGTAAAAATTGAATAAAAATCAAGGAAATTATAAGAAAAACTTGGAAATTTTTATTGAAACTTTGCAGGATGTTTATTTAGTCAATTATTTATTAGTTTATCACAAAAAATTGGAAGGAAATGCATTGCATGATGGATTTAACTGATTTAAGTTGATTATATAGCGAGCTGGCAAACACTGTAAGTGTAGAAAATATGTAGTAATTAATGAAAGAAGATTAAACACGCCATAATCATTTATATATAATGAATTACTACAATATTTTACACTTTATACATTGCATGGTAAGATACATGAGTGACTTAGTACCACATAGAGTTC